CAAAATTGCCATGATGGTGAGGGGATTCCTTCAGCAACCATTAACTCCTCTGGGCACCAGGGACCCCCGCCCCCTTGCCCAGCCCCCCAACTTGAGTGGGAGATGAGGATGCCTGCTTTCCTGAGTGAGCCCACTCTCACCAGAACGCCTGGCTTTCTGTTTTCTGAGACACTGAGTCATTTCCTCTCTCCAGCTCTCACCTTCGAGCCTTCCTTTTCCCTTCCCTGGAGAAGTGACTCACTGCTGAAGTGTTGGGTGACACTGAGGATCAAAGATGGGCGATAAAAATACTCCTGATTGTGCAACTTGAAGAAGGGGGATGCAGTGTAGACTGAGGATTCAACACGCTGGCCATGAACTCTGAGGCCACGGCTCCATGTCTCTGGGATGGTGGAGCAGAGCAAGGAGTTCAAACACCAATCGGCCTGGGCCGGATTTGCTGTGGGGCCCCTTGTTCTGTCCTCTCAAATGTTTGTCTCTGAGAAATGCACACAAAGGCAGGCACTTAGCACAACATGCGTGGATCACAGAGGCCTGGGCCCTTCCTCCCATCAGCCCTGCGGAGCCTGGCTGGGGCCCTGTGAGCAGGGCTGTTTCTTTCTGGGTTTTCTCTCCAGTGAAAACAACCGTACTTCCCCAGCGTGGGAGTGGTGAGGGAAGCCAACGTGACAGACTCAGGCTCTGGGCTGGCCGCTGCACTGATGTGATGGATCCTTTGAGCAGGGTCACCCACAACTGCCCTGCACGTGAGCCCTGCACCCCGATGGCCCAGCTGTTTTCCCGGACCGAAACTCACCTTCCTTCACCCAATTCACTAGATGCAAACTAGATATTTTCTCCTCCTAGTGAATCATCACAGACCTCATAGGGTGAGCAAAACAAAACACAAGTTTCTCTAAAGGATGACTCCCTGGCCAGGTTATAAGCTATTCAAGATGGGAACAGAGGCAGCAAAGTCACTCCGTCCAAAAGGCAAACAGATGGGAGCAGAGACACTCATAAAAGTGGGGAGAAATATACGTGCACGCGTGTGTGTGTTGGGGGGTTGTGCAGTGGAGACTGTCACAACCAGAGAATTCATGCTAAAAACCTTAATTCTTCAGGAAATTAAGGCAAAAAAGCAAAAATGAAAAAAAAAAAAAAAAAGCCTTAAAAGCCGCTGGCATGATCCCAGAAGACTGAGAAACTTGGCTCAGAAATGATGGTTAGTTTGCTTTTTAAAGATGCCTCAACTACAAAGTGGTTTTCTCACAGTCAGGAACCTTCCCCTGCCAACACATATGTACACACACGCATGAGCCCTGCCCTTCTGTGGGAGGGTATGCGACCCAGAGAGCTTCGTAAAGGTCCTCCAACCTCAGTCAAGTGAGACCCTGGCAGAGAGAGGGGGAGTCCTGGAACACTGCTGCAGGTTCCCAGCATCAGAGAAGTTTATGAAAATGCAAAGCTCCCCACCCAGTGCACCTGACCACACACATCCTCTGAGTCCCTGCGAGAGGCTAGGGAGCAAAGTCCAAACTCCACAGAACAGTCTAGGCAACCTCAGACAGAGAAGAAGCCCGGGGCCTCTTTTCCCCCTCAGGTCCCTACCACTGCCGGCAGGCACAGTCCTTAAGCCAGGCTCTCAGTGGCCAAAAGGAGTTGCTTCTCAAGCTTCCCAAACTCACCCGGGGAGGGCAGTGGGAAGGGAGGCGCCAGTGAGCCGAAGGAGGCTTTTCTCAACTGATCATCTTGGGAAAAGCCAGATACAAATTTCACGGCTGGAATGCAAGGGTTGTGAAACCCTGAAAGAAGCCCCAAAAGGGGCCAAGGACTCTCCTTCCAGGAAGGCGGTGGGAGGAGGGCTGGCAAGCGCAAGTGGGAGAGGAGCAGGTTACCCAGAGGGGCCTGCCTTTCTGGGAAGCAGGAAGTAAGGTCAAAAGAAAGAAAGGAAGAAAGAAATCCCCTAGCCCTGAGGTGGTAGAGGGGACAGAGAGATAGGGTTGGTTTTGCTTCTGAACATAAAGAAAACTAGGCTTTGTGTCAAAAAGTAATTCTGGTATAAACGAGCCAAATATGATACAGCTCGTTATCTCTGGGATTTGGAAGCACCGAACTGACCACATGTCCTCCCTAGAGTTAAATAAGCATAGTAAGCTTCTAACATGGGACTTAGTCTTGTCCTCAGTGTCATGTGAGAGGTTCCTAGTCCTGCTCTAACTAGTTAGATGAGGTCCCCCAATGAGGGTCACTAGTACCTCAGCCTTGTGTGTCCCTCATGTGGTCCCTGAGAATGGGGTAAGGAAGGTCACAAGTAGGGAAGACTGCCCTAAGCGCCACCCTTTTCTAACCTTGGACAAGTTACTTACTAGCCTCTTTGTACCTCAGTTTCCTCACCTATAAAAGGGGGATAATAAGATTATCTACTTCACAAAGTGACTCAGAATAAATTAAGCTCATGTGGCATAAAGCACTTGGAACATTACTTGGCACACAGTAGTCACTATGGAGACGTCAGCTGCTTTTGGGGTGTGAAAAGAGCAAGGGCTCGACGCCCCCCTCAAGTGGGCCAGAGTTCACACTAATGCCCAGGCTCCATCGGCTCTTCTGAACCGTAGCCTTCTCAGACCATACCCAGACCCATGTGGAACCAGCGCGCCCCAGCCTAGAAAGCCTGACTAAAGGAAAATCAGACATGCACACACAATAAGGCCCACACTGGTTGTTCCCCCACAGGGAGAGGAGCAAACACTAGTGCCAGCACATTTTGGGCCGGCTTTCTCAGTCGCATCCATGTGGTTTATCTGAAACGGGGTCAGGTCCCAGAGTGGGCAGCATAGATATTACAATCGTGCTTGCTGATCTAAACTGAGTCCATCATCATCGATCGTGAGATAACAGCGAGCTAGAGCCTCGAGACACTTGAAGAGTGTGTTGGAAAAGGTTCTTGGCAAAGCAGGAAGAACCATTTCTCAACCAATTGCTAACAAATTGGTAACTAGTACCGAGAACCTCAGAAGAGACGTTCTGATTCCCTCCAGGCTGCAGATTCCAGCACTTTGGAGACCTGACTGGGCACTTGAGCTGCAGGGAAGGGAAATGACCCCAAAGGGCCAGCACCCCTGATCTATTTCCACCCATCTACAGATAGCCCTTGGATCAGACCCAATGCCCCTCTGCCCAGTCAGGGGTGGGCTGAGTCTGGGCTGTACGTATGCATCCGGGAACCCTGAATCCTTGGGTCCCCACAACGTGTGGAAGTGCAGCAGCTGGACGTATGCCCAGGACAGGGAGCGAGATTTCAAGCCTGTTGTACAAATATAAGAGGGGCAAGTGGGGTGTGTCTCTGCAGGAGCCCCTGCCCTTCTTCCCAGAAACCTGGACCTTCCAGAGTTGACAAGGCCATCTGAACTGAGACAGTCTACAAGTTATAGGCAATATGCTTAAGCCTTTAAGACTTCAAGTACCTCCCGGCCTCCCTGCCAGTGCCAACGGGGCCTAGAAGGAGAAGCCAAGCTCAGGGCATGGGAAGGAGCATGGCCCTGGGACAGGGTCCAGACTCGTAGGTGGAGAGCTTCCAGATGCCCCACGCCTCAGCCTGGCCATCTGCTGCTGCCAGGGGAAGATCATGGTGCCTCACGCCAGCTACTTCAAAGCAGATGGCTGGAGAAACCCACTGGCTGGAGTTGAAAGCTGCTCGGAGGTGGCAGTGGAGGCTTCTCCAGGCTCTTGTCAAAAAGTTCAACCCCTGGCTTCTGGATGGCAGATTCACCAGGTGAGCCATCTTGGGCAGCCAGAGTAACCAGCCCTCCCTCCTCCACAATCTGCTCCCAGGTTGAAGCTTTGACTTTAACCAGCCAGGCCTCCCCTGTTCCATCCACGTCAGCTCCTTCTCCTGCTTGAAAGTTCTAGGGCACCTTCAGGGTCCGTCTCATGTTCTTCCTCCTCCAAGAAGCCCTCCCTGACTATTCCAGATCATGCCGACTTGTCTTTTCTGTAGACTAGTAGATCACTACCACTTCTGGGGATCATGGATGAGCAGATGGAGCTAGAATTCAAAGAGGTAGCTATTTCTAACTAACTGCATCTACACCCAGACTCACACCAACTTCAGTTCACGCACCCCCAAAGGAAGAGCCTATATCCTAGGTGGCCCTCTGGGCCCTGAGCTTGCCACACAGCAAGCATGTAATAAAGACTTCTCAGAAGAAGGATAGATCACCCTGGTCTTGCAGGAGTTCTGTGCTTCCCTTTTAGCCCAGGGTGCAGCAACTTCCTCCCTGGCAGGCAAGGTTTCTGCTCTGGGCTGCCAGCTCCCAGGCAGCCCTTGCCAGCATCTATTCCCTACAGCTTCCCTGATTCAAAGGGCAGAAGGGGGTGCCCAGCTCCAGCCCTGCCTACCACTTATCACCTATCAGAGGAAGAGAGGTCAGCAGGAAGAGGATCTGACCTGTAGGGGTGGCCACAGTCTCTCCCAAGGGCTATTGGGGCCCCACGACAGGCAGCAGAGGCCTGCAAAGGACTTCCCTTCCCTTCCCTGGGCCTCATGGAAGGGAGGCAGGAAAAAGGGCCTCAGCAGCAGGCATCCACTATGGGGCTGGCCAGACAGGGAGGCCCCTGGGGCTGCAGCTATCAGCCGGAGACCAGGCTCCAGGAAGGAAGGAAGGGCAACTCTGGCCGAGGCCGAGATAAGGAGGGGAGTCGTGCTCAGCACAATGGGCTCCCACGAGGCTGGGATTTTGCCCCAACTTGGCCTCCCGTCTGCTCACACAGCCCATGTAAATATTTACTGATGTTTATATTTCTGGTCTGTTAGGTTCCCTCTGAGGTCCTTTTATGACCCACAGATCTGTGTGCCCCAGAGACCCTGGGCCCATCCAACAAGGGCTATGGGCATTGTTCTCTCTCATGCAAGCCCCAGGGACAGACCCTTCAGAACAAAACTTCCCCCCACTTGTACCAGCCCTGGAACACTGCTTTCAGGAAGCTGTACTAGCCCCCTCTGTGGGCAAGGAACTTACGGGGCCCGGTCGTGGGTGAAGCCGTTCTGCCGCTGAGGGTTGATTGGCGGAAGGACAGGTTTGCTGTTGATCTCAAGTCCTCTCCTCAAGGTCTCCCGGATCTGCTCCGTGTCTGCAACAACACCACTAAGCTGCCTCATGGGCTCCTAACATCCCACTCAGAACCTGGCTCTGCAGACATGCTGGGGAAAGGCCCTGTGAAGCCCATGAGCCCACCCTAGAGCTGAGTGAGAGCAGTACGAGCACACAGGGCAGATGAGGCACCACGCTCTCAAGAAACTTCTGGTCTCAAGAGTGCCATTCTTGTAGAAGACAACAGGGGGTGACCTTCAGACTTCAGAAGGGCACCTTCCAAGACAGGGCTTTTCACTGTCCTTCCCCTTCCCGGGCCACAAGCCCTAGGTTTACCCTTATCATAGCCCCAGACAGTGACTAACAAGGTCTTTGCCAGTGCCCAAGATCACTTAGGGATGCTTCCCACTGTAATGGGTGCCACTAAGGGCTGCAAGTGTCTTGCCATGAATGAACTCTTATATAGTTTCTGGGTTCTGGCTGGTCATATGGTATCTGGCCCTGCCACCCTTCTCCTTGGGCCAGGTCAGTGGGATGATGAAGTCACCTCCCTACCTTGGCCCAGGAACCTTGTCTCTCCATGGGTCTGCCAAGGGCCAGGGGGTGAGAGAGGAATCTCTTGGTGGGACTATTTCTTTGCAAGGTGCTTTGCTGATCTTTGGGATGAAGCTCACTATTCTGGTCCCCTACAGAGATTTTGGTCTAAGACTTACCTCTGCAAACTGCAAACACGTCCAAAAAAGCAAATTAATGCTGAGTGCTCCAAGGATGGGCTTAAAGTGGACTACAGAGGTAATAATACTAACTTTTCTAACTGTCTGCCTTGTTACAGTGATGCAGGTACTTGTATAATTTTTAAAAATGAGCCAATCATGAAATTGGCTAATTGAAATTGTGGACAAGACTATGAATCCCTCCTTATACTACCTCTTTCATCAAAAGCAACTGAATGATTTTAATAACTGCTGACTTTCTCTTGGAACTTCTGATGGGTTTAGCACACCAACAGAACAAGCAAGAAGGCAAAAGGGAGTCAGATATTTGCACCAGGGGTTTAAGTTTGTCCTTTATGGAAAGAGAAGTGCTTTTGTGCTATCACATGTGTAGGTATTTTATTCAGGACTGTGGGTATCTTACTCTTCAAACAATAAGAAAAGGTGGAGGAATTCGAGAAAGAAAGTAGAAAAAGCTGTGAACACACGTATATGTAAAGGCCTGCTTTCCTTTTGCAGTTTGGTAGGGATGCCCTTTGCTAAGAACCACAGCTGTTTCTACTGCCAAGACCACCTTGGTGAGCTTCTAACAGGAGAGCCATATCCTCCTTCCCCAAGGCCCTGCTCAGAAGGCAGCGGGTACAGGGTGCCCGGCACACAGCCACTTACACTATATCTGCAGGACAGTGAGGCAGGGAAGTTAGTGGGCTGGCCTCACACTCAGGCCTCTCTCATCTAAGGCCTGGGAGGGCCTGAGGCCATAGTGATTCTTGGGTCTGGCATGGCTTTCAAGCCAGAGCTGGGCCCTGTGTCAATTCCGTGGGTGGCCAATGCTTGTTCTTTTGCACTTGGGTGGACTATGGCCTTTTCCTGTAACTGTTCTGTGGCTTCCACTCACCTCCATGACCTCAGATTGCAAGGGGCAAATCTAAAACACAATGGTCACTGCTCGTGGTGCATCTGAAATACACACAGGAAACACAGGAGAAATGGCCCAATAAAGCTCTCCTCATGCCACCCTTTGGAAGGCTTCACTTGCTGTTTAGATCCTGCCAGGAAGGGAACTATTGAATGGGCTGCTGTTGTTAGAGACTCGTCCTAGAGAGCCCGAAAACTGGGCCTGGGGCAAGGGGAAGGGGAAGGCTTGGTGGTAGCAGGTACCTTTGCCAGAGAGCCGCCGTGGCTGCGTGCCGATACAGATGCTCCGGCTGTCCTCGTCATCCTCAGGGGGCCGGCTCAGGTCATCCCAGGCACATTTGGCACTGACGCCACTCAGGTTGGAGCCATCCGTCTCGATGCCTTTGTCAACTCTCTCCTGCTTGGAAAGAACCAAAGAGCCAGAGTTCCTTCAGCGAACCGGTGGCCCAGGGTCACCACCACCCTTCTGGTATTTAACGATTCTTGTAGGTGCTGAGCACAGGATAGGTGCTGGAAGAGCACGATCTCTGATCTTGTTCTGCCCTGGTTACTAACACATGACAGTCTCTGCCAGCCACTGGACTCCTCCAGGGGAACCAGGGATCAGGGGAAGCCAGGAAGCATGAAAATCCCAAGGGAAGCTTCTCCTCTAGCTCAACCTTCCAGTAAAATGACCTGCACACCTGTTTCGGAGCTCTAATTCTGCCCACCTCATGCCAGCCCATGGAGCTGATGCGGCAGAGAAAGGAACTATTTCCCTGAGGAAAGGTACAGTCCTTCCTCTCCTCCCTGGTTAGCCAGGAAAAACCCCTTGTTACTGCTACAGAGAACAGGGCGGAAGCCTGCCAGGTGGGAGAGGCCAGGACTCAGCCCAACTTCTCCAACCTCACACCTGCAGTTTCCTCTTCTAACAGCAGAGGGTGTGGTCACCCACAGAAGCGTCACCAGAGAGCAGAAGGGCAGGACTTCCTCTAGCTGCATCACTAACTTGTTTGGCAAAGGATTCTGGATGGAGTTTCTCTTCCGTGTCTTAGACTGAAATGGGGGCCTGGAGGGCAGTGACCAACTACAGACCCCACCAGAGGCCCTTCCTTTGTGCAGGCCTTGGCACTGTGGAGTCCAAACACTCTCCAAATAGCCTCAAGGAAGAGCTGTACCCAAACATCCCTGGGATTTCTGGTAAAACATAGTTCTGTGATGCTGGGCATTGGATTAAAGGTCATCTGGAAGGCTCTAGCAACATTGCTTATAAACAGCCACGTGGGCCAAATAAAGCTCCTAAGTGAAAGCACCTCAATAAGAGTCTGCACCCCGCTGTCTGCCTGACCCTCTCCCTGCGGCTCCACAGGCATCACACCAGCCTGCTGCTCAGCCAGGGAGCTATGTGTGGAAACAAGGAAAGGTCCTTATTTCTTGAGACCAGTAGCAGATGGCCCCGCCCTGATGCCTCCTTTCCAGCGCTACCATCAGCTTAGGTGAAGCTCAGGATTCTTTTTTTTTTTATTTAAGATTTTATTTTTAAAGAATCTCTAACACCCAGCATGGGGCTTGAACTTGAAACCCTGAAATCAAGAGTTGCATGCTCTACTGACAGAGCCAGCCAGGCACCCCGAAGCAGGGGATTCTGAGCAGAGACAGGGAGAGGCCGACGGCAGGAGCAGCTCCATGTTCCAGGTAGGAGCATGTGGGCCCTGCTTTGCTCAGGGTAGAGTCTGAGTTTTTCCCTTTCCATTGGCTGCCCTGAGGACACTCACCTAAGCAAAGAGCTGAGGAGGTCTCCTGACTCAACTAGTTCAGCCCACTTACTTTACAAGTAAAAAAAGAAAGAATTAGGACCCGGAGAAGGGACTTCTTTAGGCACACAGCTCGCTGGTAGCAGGGCCTGGAGCAAAGGAACAGGAGCCAGCTTTAAAATGAACTGCCTATGAGCAGGCCCCAGACAGCTACAAAGGAGTACAGCAGAGTTCCCCTTGGTGCACAGGGCAATCAGGTGAGAAAGCTGGACTTTCTTACCAAGGTCTCCCCCTTTTTTTTTTAAATTTTCATTTTTTATTTTTAAGTAAACTCTACACCCAATGTGAGGCCTGAACTTATGACCCTGAGATCAAGAGTTGTGTGCTCTACCACTGAGCCAGCCCCCCAACACCTCCTGCTTGCTTTCAAAGACCAGTAGGTGCTCTGGGTCCTGTTGGCTGGTCTCAGCAGAGCCCCAAGACTAGGATGGAGAACTGTTCTTGGCATGCAGAGAAGGACGGGCTGCTTATCCTACTAGTTCAAAGGACCAAGTTCTTTCTTAGTACTTGGCACTTATGACAGGGGCTAAACAGTGGCCCATGTTGGATCCCAGTGTGGCTGCCGAACAATGACATAGGGAAACATAGGGAAACAAACCTTCATGGTTCCTGGTTTTTGCATAAGCAGAAGCTACAGGGAAACCAAGTATAAAGCAGCAATAACAAAGGATCCTCCCAGCAATTTAAAAACTTCAGTGTTACAGGCACTAGGAAAATAGAGGAGCATCATCTGTGAATGAGGAGGGCTTCTGCCCAAGAACTCATGGGTCTACAGTAAAGAACCCACAGGGACTGCTGGCTGTATGTCTGCCTGCCACCTCTCGTTCCTCCTGAAGGACATGGAGCTCCTAGTGCCTGCCCACGGCCTACCAGATTTTTACAGACACATAAAAGATTCAGAGACGGCAATGACCTGCAATTGGTGGGGGGAAGTAGAAGAAAGCGTACACAAGCCAGGGACATTCTTAGTTGTCTACTGTCCTGTTTCATGAGCAGCCCATTAGGAAGGAAGTTATGCTCTAGGTGGTTTTCAAAATTAACTTGCATGCAAAGAGTGTTTCTTCTAAGAAACCAAAGATGTCACTGCACAGCTGGGTCACAGTGAGTGGGCAACTGCAGGCCTGCATGTATACAGACTTCCTTTAGACATCAAAGAATGCCAGCCTCCCCAGGGGAGGAGCTTGGAGTCTGACTGCCCAAGGGGAAGATGTATCTAAAAGGGGGGAATACGATCATTAGACCCATCAGAATTCCCACTGCAGCTGGGTCATGGGGTCAGTATCACCTGCTCCGTCGGTTATGGGGTGCTGGCGGTGGAGGGGTGGTTCCCTGAAGGGCAGTCTATATTCTTTTAAGAAAGGGGAAGTGGGAGGAAGAATACTGGGCAAGCAATATTGATTTTCTGTAGCTGCTGCTGATCTTTTTTTTTTTTTTATGTCAGGTGTACTGATGTATGATTTACATACAATAAAATTCATCCTTTTTTTATCCTTAAAAAATGTTTTTTATGTTAGAGACAGAAAGAGAGAGAGAAAGAGAGTGGGGGAGAGGGGCAGAAGGAGAGAGAGGGAGAGAATCTTAAACAGACTGCATATTCAGCAAGGAGCCCGACTCGGGGTTTGATCCCACAACTCTGGGATCATGACCTAAGCTGAAATCAAGAGTTGGATGCTCAAATGACTGAGCTACCTAGGTGCCCATTTTCATCCTTTTTTTTTTTTTTTAATGCTTATTTATTTTTTGAGAGACAGAGACAGAGCATGAGCGGGGGAGAGGACAGTGAGAGAGGGAGTCACAGATTCCAAAACAGGCTCCAGGCTCCAAACTGCCAACACAGAGCCTGACGCGGGGCCCGAACTCACGAACCGAATCGCGAGATCGTGACCTGAGCTGAAGTCAGAGGCTTACCCGACTGAGCCACCTGGATGCACCCTGCCACCACCACCCCCACCGTTTTCTTCCTTTTTAAATGCAAAAAGACACGTGTCAGAGGCAAGTTTCCTGGCCTGAAATCTCTGCTCCCTGTGTGCTCTGCAGAATTCAAGGAACAAGTTGAAATCATGCCATATTTCTATTCACTCACAAATAAAACTCCTCCATTTTCCCAGCATGAAAGCCAGTGTTATTTGGAAGAGGCCTAGGCAGAATGTGCTAGAAAGGTTTTCCTCACTCAAGACATACTTGCAGGTGTGGATCGATCTCAAATATGGTCTCTCCCCTCCTCATGTCAGTTATCAGCCAGGGGCCGCCAGCGCTGTGGACAAGGAAAGGGGACAGGATGGTAACTGAGGGCCTGGGGCTGATGGTCTGGGGATTCAGACTGCCCTGTTTGCTGCCCTAGGCCCAGAACACAGGGGAGCAGTTAGAGGTCAGGGGCTGTCAGGGAGCAAGTCGGTAGGAATCCCTGACGTGAAAAATCGGTGCCTGAAAAGCAACGTAAGGGGAAACCCACATACGGGGTTAAGGAGGAACCCCCACCCCCAGGCCCAGGGAGCCAGGCCCCCACCTCATAGGCTGGGGGTGTACTCACACAGGCACCGTCCGCAGCAGCTCCAAGATGCCCTGCCCGTTCCACTGCTGGGCTGCATGGAGCTCCTCGGTACAGACGCCAACAATCTGGGACCCCGGGGACAAGATGCGGTTGTGTGTTAATGACCACTCCCCCCCTGCCCCACCCCCCGCCCCAGAAGAACCACCACCTAGGCTCTTTTAGGGTCAACTCAAGTTGGGGGACCACAGGCAAGATATGTGGTCAGAGGCTGGTCTATGCAAAATGGGACGGTTTCCTGGCTAGGAGAGAATAGCTGCCTGGCTAGGAGATGGAAGAATTCACAGATAGGGCACTAAGGCCTGACCCTTGCCCCGTTATAATGGGCCAGACTTGTGTCTGGGTGACACAAAGTCTAGCCCTAGACTACAGAGGCAAAAATCAGTCTGGGTCCTCAGCCCGTCCCTGGAAGCAGAGGGTGTTCAGCGAGATGTTCCTGCCGGGGCTATGATCACAGGGAATGTAAACAGAGGAGATTCTGAGACCCTTCAAGCTCAGAATGACAACCAAAGGGCCCCAGAAGTTTGCAGAAAAGCTTCCTTCCTCGTCAGGGGCTGGGCCTTTATGTAAACCTCAAGGGAAACAAGTGAACCTTCACACAGACACCATCATGCCCACAAGCGAGCCCAGGTGCAGCCAGAGTGGAGGCACACCCCTTCGGTGAGGGCAAGGCCAGCCCGACACTGCCTTCCTGCTAGGAGGTCCTGTGCCTACTGCTGTCTGGGTCTTTACTAGTTCATCAAATACCCACCCTGTTAGCCACTCAACTACAGCCATTCTCCAGCCACCCCCACATGGCCCCTTACCTTTCCCCCTTCTCCCATCTCAGCAGGCTAAATCAGACCATCCGACTATACCTGACGAACCATCAGAGGGGACAGAAAATGCAAGAAGACTGAAGGAAATCTCCTGTTCCCTTCACCTCCCCTACCCAAGCCCTTCTGTCCTACTCGGACTTCTCGCCCAGGAAAGGCTTGAGCCCATGTCCGACCCGCGCCTCACCTGGAGGAATGTAACTACCCCAAAGGGTGTCTGCACGGGCTGCATCTGTGGGTCTTCTGTCAGCAGCATGTGCTGAATTCTTGACTCACTGTTATCCAAAGGGCTGTGCCAAGACACGTGGTCCCCACTGCAGAAGGTGTTCTCTGTGGGAGAGACATGGCAACGCTCAGTGTTGGAGGCCTCGCATCTAGGCCTGGAACCCTGGTATCTGAGAAGCCTGGGCTGGGAAGCTGCCCAGCCTTCCAGGGGAAGCATTCACTCATATGGGAGAAAAGATTGTGGATATTCCCCCAAAACCAAACATGTCCCTGCTTGCCAGTTCTGCCAGCCTTCAGTGGAATAGGACAGCCTGCTAGCGTGGATGCTCACTTGGCCTGGCACATCCAAAAACTTATTTGGGGTGGGAGGGAGCCATGATCAGGTCTGCCAAAAAAGAATAAAGTGCTTTAGTGTGGGACCACCTGGCCAGAAATCCTCAGGGAGGCTAGAGGGCAGTGAAAGCACTTCACCTTGGAAAAACACACGCCTGGTTCCAATCCTTTTCTGTGCTGCTGAAAGTGTTCTAAAAGGAACCAACAACTGTGGAGGGCCTTTGAAATTGGTCACTGGCTTCCCACAGGTAGACAGATACAGGGATTTCTGAGGAACACTGGAGGCTTCAAGTACATGGAGGTCTAAATTGGGCCTCACACACCTCAGCAGAGATGTACAGTCTGGAGGGACAGGTGTTTCCATGAAAACACAGACACTGTGCCCAGGAGAAATGTGCCAAAATGGCCAACTCACAGCCTCACCCCTGCACTTCACACAGGCTCATCACTTCAAAAAACTGTTTAGGGTACCATAACCACACAGAAGAAAACACCCATGTGGTATGAAGTCACCCCTGACCCCTGACTCTTATGTTCGGCACCCTTCCAAAGGTGCTCTGCATTTACCAGCCTGTGTGCATCTACAGTTCTCTCCACCCCTTATTTTATTTATTTATTTTTGTAATACAAATGGCAGCACACTGTTTTGCATGTTTTGCTTAATGATATATCTTGGGGGATCATTTCATATCAGCACATAATAAGCTACCTCATTCTTAAAATATGTTTTAAGTTTATTCATTTTGAGAGAGAGAGAGAGAGAGAGAGAGAGAGAGAGAGAATCCCAAGTAGGTTCTGCACCATCAACATGGAGCCCGACTCAGGGATTGATCCCACGAACTACGAGATCAGGACCTGTGCTGAAATCAAGAGTCGGAAGCTTAACCAACTGAGCCACCTAGGCACTCCAAAA